TACCAAGATTGATAAAAATCCTCCGTATATTGATCTGCTGAGAGATAAATCGAAAAAAGCAGGAGCAGCTGATCGACAAATATATGTGGCAATTTCAAAATGTTTAATTTAATTATACACGCGCACAAAATGGAATTCCATTTAAATTTAGGGCAAAACAAAGTAGGGTTATAATAATTAAGAGTGATTCCGTGTAGAGATATTTTAATAAGTCACCGTTAGATGCATAGTAATAGCCGTTCGTTAATAACTAAACTTATAGAAAGTCTAAGTAGACTAACAGAAAGAACAGAAATATAACCGTGGAGAACAATTGATCAGTGTGTTATTGGCATATGTGCATAATGTGCGTATGCCTCAGTATTACCTTGATTCAAAAGCTATTTATAAGCAATGATGGGTAGTGGCTAGCAGTAGAATCCAGTTTGATGCGCGTTTCGTCCTATTTGGCACTCGTCAGCTGGATTTACCTGCATCTCAGATAGTTTATGTTCACTGTGAGACTCGAACCCAGTACCGTTCCCTTCAAACGCCATCGCGTTATTTACCCAGCTACTGAGTCTTGATAGCCGCTTGCTTGTGCAATGGGGTAAATTTGAATTCGTCCAGCTGGCGAGTCCCGAATAGGACGAAACGCGCATCCTGAATTCCACAGATAACCACTATCCATCATTGCTTAGAAAACGTGGTTTGCAATTCGGTAGGAATTAAAAGCTTAAGTAGATCATCAAAGTTTTTGATTCGTTCACAATATTTTGTAAGCAAACATGTGCATTTGTGAATGCGTTCTCGTTAAAAAATATTCGAGAAGCGCGTTGAGAAGTCTGGATAGATCTCTAGGATAGTTCTGGGATAGTGTGATTCATCATTCAATTCCACAACCCTTTGCTGATAATTACCATGTGTTGACTAGTGACTAGCCCCGCGAGGAAATTTTGGCTGTTCTGGTGAGAAGCCGTGACCAGTGGAGCTAATTCATATCAGACAGAGAGAGGTATCTACCCCAGTACAATAGAAGGTGGTCACACAATTTCGTGAATTGGTTGAGGTTGGATCAATGGTCTAGAGGTTAAGTGTTTGCATGTGAGACTGAAGGCTCTGGGTTAAAATCACGAGGGGCGGGATCGTCGATGCGCGCTACTGAGTAGTCCCACAATAGGACGAAACGGCCATCCAGGCTTTCAATGGTGGTCTAATATCAATCAGTTCATGATCTTAATCAATAACTTAATAATCTTCACAACCTATATACTGACATCTAATTTATTTTGTTCTTCTTCTTGTAACTTTAGAAAAATAGTTTTAATTGTTGTTTCATTCTGTTTACACAGTATCATTCTGTAGGCTAAAAACAAAAAAAAATCTCACATTCTATTTATGTTTGATGATGATTGTAATACTCTCGTGACTCTTCTTCTTCTCTATGTACATAGAATACAATGTAAAAAGAGAATCATTTAACACTGTTAAACATTTAACTTAATGAATTTTCTACAATTCATCTTATTTGTAATCTTTATTATAATGAATTTAACTAAAGAGATCAAATGGGTTAATTGTAAGTAGTATTGTTTTTTTCATTATTCAATTAATGAATGTTATTAAGTAAGAAACAGAATATAATGAAGTTGAACTGTAAGAGAAGGGTAGGCTAATCAGGAATGAGAAAGTCTCCTCTCTCGAAATGCTCTAACATGGTCACGTGAATATAGCCACTGTCAGCGAAGTCCTACTCACTGCCTTCTCTCGGCATTACTGTTATTTACGAAATTGAGATGACGAAAAGCGAATTTTCGCTCTTTAACCTGGTTAGTGCACACGAAGAGTCTACCTAAAGGAGCTGGAAAACCCTGACTCCAAACCAATGGTGCATATGGCCTCCAGTATCCTGAAGAAACTAATGGCGTATGAACCAATTACTGATCACCGGCTACTGCTATTGGCTTACTAAGTGTAAACTGCCTGTAATTGCGTTGAATTTATTATTTATTTATTTCAACATATAAAGATTGATCTAAGGGGTAACAAATAATTATGCACCACATAAATCATTAGATTTATGTGAGGGGTGGGATACTGACCGGGTGCCCAAACCGAAACAAATAGTTTTCTTAGTGGGCTACACCCCGAACCTTTGGCTTAAACGTCTAATCCACAAGGTGGTGGAGCAACGTCAGGAGATGGAGTCCCATGAAAACCGGGGACCAACAATAGGCTCATGCGCTATTTATTCCTTCAGGATACTGGTGTGGTGAGCTGAGTACTGTTTTGATGATGGTGTGGTGCGTGCTACTTATATTGATATAAGTAGTATATGACGTGAGTCAGGAATGTAATATCTGGCATCAGAAGATGGGGAAGATCAAAAAAAGAAAGAATGGGAATAGAAAACAATTAGTATGGAAATGCAAGAACAATGAAGTTCGAGACAATTATTGAACATTTTGCAAATTATGTATTAAAGTACGGTTTTTCTATTTTACCAAGTAACTCTGTAATTTTATGTTGTACGTAACTCGATTGTCCTTACCCGTGTCCTGTTCAACTACACTGGAACCCACGTGCAGCATTAGTTTGTAACCAGGGTTTCCCAACTCCCCTGGGCACATGATCTGTATTTGGTTGTGAATCACCTACATGGTACAGTATTGTCTAGTTTATGTTTATCTTACTAATTGTGTATCCAGTATGGCGAAAGTATCATCTCAGTCAACGGTCTGATTGCTGTATAATATCAGTATATCATGCGAACTAAAAAGTATTTTTATTCCATCCATCAAATCAAAAGATTAAACTGATGAATTACAACATGGTAACTATGTTTACGTTAGTCCAATATACGATAATACTTTTATGAATCCCATAGTAATAAAATCATTATTCGAAATTGCTTGACGCCATGATACTTGTCGCTAACCACATATTGTGATATAACTCTGTGACTATATTATTATTACAGATCTACATAAATCGGTGAGATTATGATTTATGGACGACCTTTAAGTGATGTTAAAGTGGCCTTGGAGATGTCCACCTACTTGCTAGGGCTAGAAGTATAAACATTTGTGAACAATAAAGATTATGATTTACAGTTGATGATTAGGGTTAGGATTTAAAATTACGGTTTTTCATCATGAACAGACTTAAGCTAAAATGCCAAAACTTTATTTGGCCAAATGGGTGATTATGAATACAGTGGTCTTGAGTGCTGTTAGAGTTATGAGGGAGGGTACCACTTCCCGGTTGCCCACACAGTGGAAGGATTCTTCTGGAGGTACCTGAAAAGAAAATTGGATTAGAGGTGGTCTTAGTGACGTGAGAGCGTGACAGCAGTTCCCAAGCGATAACTGCTTGAGGTCGGTCACACGATATTTTTGTGAGCAATTTTAGTATGAGCTCTGTACTTGTTGTGACTTTACTGCCGGAGACGGATATCCGTGGTATAAGGTAAAGTGTGCACTTTTATGGTCAACCTTTCTAACCCCACCCCTCCTTGTAGGAAGGCAGCATCTCTGTCATGCTGGTTGTCTGAAGGAAACACCTCACTGTTGTCACACCTCTGTACAGCCAGCACTATGACTTCGCCTTCGGACCTTAGGTTTGTTGATTTTAGTCTTACCGCTCTTCAACCGACCTGTCTGACAAAGTAGGACCTTGAGGAACGGTTGTTCCAGCCAATATAGCTCGGTTGGGTTATCACAATAGGCAAGCCCGACCACCATGTCAAGGTAGCAACAACGGTCGGGGGTCAAATGGGTGAGTGAATTTCACATTAAAATCCAAGACGTGTTATCCTTATTCTGAATGGTTCATCTATAAATTATAGTCTTGCCCATAAATCTTCACTTATCTAGAAAGGAAAACGAAATTATAAAATTGTCTATATGAATAATTCAGAATGTTCATTGTTACTTTATAACTAACTAATCAATGATATATTTCAGATCACCAATCTGAATTGACCAAGTATACCCCCGATTAGAACAACCAACTATGAATTAACAATTGAAATAATATTAGTCCGTTATTCACATGCTCCTGTTTATGACTTACATTGGGTTCACAAGTAGCAACCAGTCTTTACTACATTTATATTTCAAACACACATGGTTTATATATAGATGAATAGGACCTGTACCACGCCATAAAATGAAGAGTAACGGGTCAAAAGTGGCTGTGAATAGATGGAGACCATAAGTGATAGAACGGGGAATAAATATGGGTAATATATTATGGTTTAGCCCAAAGCTTGTGATAAACAGAATATACAGACAAAGTAATCTAGTTTCCTAATAATTATACAATAGTAATAATAATCCATAAATTAGTTCTAGGCATTACCATTTCTTCAATCTTCATTCTGATAAAATTCACAATTGAGATTATCCTGACTTAGTCAGCTAATCATTATTAATTTCAGTAGTTGAATTCATGAGTCAACTGAAGTAAGACAACCATGGAAAACATGGAAGCATTGGACGGCTGTTTCGTTCTATTGTGGGACTCCTCAGCAGTGCACATCCATAATCTCGCCTCCTGCGAGATTCCAAACTAGTAGGTCCTGGGTTACTATAATATTCACAAAACCCATCTGATATTATTCATTAATAATTTCACTAGTTGAATTCATGAGTCAATTGAAGCTAGACAACCATGGAAAACATGGAAGCCTTGGATGGCCGTTTTGTCCTATTGTGGGACTTCACAGTAGTGCGCATCCGCTATCCCAACTCAATAGACTCATGATTTCAACCATTAAAATTACTATAATATCCATACACAAAAAAACCTTTCTGATAATCATTATTAGTTTGACTGATAGATCACCTACTAATCAATTCATTTGCATATTATATATATCAAAACTAAGTGTTTTTATCTAAAGACACACTGATCCCGATTATTCTATTCACATTTTAGGCAGTCAAGTTTTGAATGAACATAATTCTGGGTAAGTTTAGATAAAATGTAAAATTTAACATACATGAAATTAATACTATTCATGATATAGTAGTAGAAGTAGTAGTAGTAGTAGTAGTAGTAGTAGTAGTAGTAGTAGTAGTAGTAGTAGTAGTAGTAGTAGTAGTAGTAGTAGTAGTAGTAGTAGTAGTAGTAGTAGTAGTAGTAGTAGTAGTAGTAGTAGTAGTAGTAGTAGTAGTAGTAGTAGTAGTAGTAGTAGTAGTAGTAGTAGTAGTAGTAGTAGTAGTAGTAGTAGTAGTAGTAGTAGTAGTAGTAGTAGTAGTAGTAGTAGTAGTAGTAGTAGTAGTAGTAGTAGTAGTAGTAGTAGTAGTAGTAGTAGTAGTAGTAGTAGTAGTAGTAGTAGTAGTAGTAGTAGTAGTAGTAGTAGTAGTAGTAGTAGTAGTAGTAGTAGTAGTAGTAGTAGTAGTAGTAGTAGTAGTAGTAGTAGTAGTAGTAGTAGTAGTAGTAGTAGTAGTAGTAGTAGTAGTAGTAGTAGTAGTAGTAGTAGTAGTAGTAGTAGTAGTAGTAGTAGTAGTAGTAGTAGTAGTAGTAGTAGTAGTAGTAGTAGTAGTAGTAGTAGTAGTAGTAGTAGTAGTAGTAGTAGTAGTAGTAGTAGTAGTAGTAGTAGTAGTAGTAGTAGTAGTAGTAGTAGTAGTAGTAGTAGTAGTAGTAGTAGTAGTAGTAGTAGTAGTAGTAGTAGTAGTAGTAGTAGTAGTAGTAGTAGTAGTAGTAGTAGTAGTAGTAGTAGTAGTAGTAGTAGTAGTAGTAGTAGTAGTAGTAGTAGTAGTAGTAGTAGTAGTAGTAGTAGTAGTAGTAGTAGTAGTAGTAGTAGTAGTAGTAGTAGTAGTAGTAGTAGTAGTAGTAGTAGTAGTAGTAGTAGTAGTAGTAGTAGTAGTAGTAGTAGTAGTAGTAGTAGTAGTAGTAGTAGTAGTAGTAGTAGTAGTAGTAGTAGTAGTAGTAGTAGTAGTAGTAGTAGTAGTAGTAGTAGTAGTAGTAGTAGTAGTAGTAGTAGTAGTAGTAGTAGTAGTAGTAGTAGTAGTAATAGTAGTAGTAGTAGTAGTAGTAGTAGTAGTAGTAGTAGTAGTAGTAGTAGTAGTAGTAGTAGTAGTAGTAGTAGTAGTAGTAGTAGTAGTAATAGTAGTGTGATGAACAAGAACACGGGTGGAGACAATCGAATTGTCTCAAAATCACTCAGACTTCATTAATCTTGCATTTTCATACAAACTGCATTCTGTTTCTATTCTTTGCCGTTCTATCCTCTTGTCTCTTTGTTGCCAGACATTCTGTTCACGACTAACGTCATCTACTACTTATGTTAATATAAATAGCACACACTACAGTAGTATAGTAGTAGTATGAATAATTGATCTGAAATCATCATTTGGATATAATTTCCTTTTCTAGTTGTTATATACATCAGTATTAATTTGATTTTAATCAGTTTTGTACAAATTGTTAAGTGACAAACTGATCTTAACCAGGCCAATATTGAAAATTAGGGAGGAGAAGGTAGATGTTTCATTTTAGTATAGGATTCTTAAGCAATACAATATCCATGACCCTACCAGTAATCAATCTCAGGACTATTATTAATGTTCAGTTCATACCATCTCTATACTTGAAGGTGAATCGTGTATTTATTATACTGTGATATAGTCTGTGTATTATATTTGGCATCAACTGAGTATTCAGTTAAGCGGTAACAGAGTCTCGGTTAACGGTCCTATTACCGTATAATAGTAGTAGAATGAAGTAAACCATGGAATATAGTTTATATTCTCCTTTATATGACAATAATGGATAGATAGCAAATTAATCAATAAAATTCGATCAGATAATTTGATGAGACTATAATCGATGGATGACCTTTGAGCGACTCCTGACTGACCTTGACAGTATCCACCTAGTAACTAAGACTAAAGGAAAGTTATAAACCATTTTGATGAATGATAATTGTAATTTTCAATTGATGATGAGAGTTAGATTTCAGGATTTCATCATGAACTGACATCAATTAACATGTGAAGATGCTCCTTAACCAACTAGATGAATGAATTTCACGCCAAAATCCAAGACATATTATCATAAATCTGACTGGTTCATCCATAAGTTATAGTTTCTTTCATAATTTAACAATTGGTTACTGCTTAGTGACTGCTTAATGTCAATTCATTTGATATTTGGTTCTAAATGTTGACCGTATAATTTACCTCTTCAACAAGAGATATTCACTGATATGAATGTTAAAAGTAGCTGCATGGTTTTGATATTATTAAATGGTTTGAGATGATCTGTGAAAAGTCTTGTCCGACATAAGTCTATTTGATAGGTAGTAATCAGGACAGAGACCAGAGGTTTTGAGGAATTGATATCTAGGACTTAGATTCTTACTGTACTGCGTACAACTTAAGCACTTGAACACTTGGACCCTCCAAATTACAGGTTAGAAGATTGGAGTTTAGCGGGAAGGAATCTTATTTCAAACACTGTCAATTATGGCACAAAACACTCAGGTATTTATAATTTTTGGTATAAAAACGAAACCATCATTACGGTAATCCAATTCGTATATGCAGTGGTCTTTAGTATGTGTTCAATCGGGAGATTACACATCGAGATTTTGGAATGTTCTACGAAAAGATGATTGAATGGAATGTCTTCAGCTCTTTCTGAGCTTCCTAGAGCCACCTTGAATTCATCAGGAGCTGTCCGTACAGATAAGATCAGTTCTACTTACGGAAACAAAAAACCGATGTTTATCTATTGAGAATGAAATGTATCGTCAAAAAGTCAGTCAAAATGTTTGTTGTATTTAAAAAAAAAATTTCGATATTGAATTTTAGATCATCAATTTGGAGGTAAGATAACTAGAAAACAAGTATTTTATGATTCTTTGTTGTTAAGTCACTAGTTTTGTCTTATTTCAGATTTATTAATCATTCTTATTGAATACCATTGTATTGAACTCAAGAACTTTGGTCTCCTGTCGAGTCCATAACCTCTAGACTACTGATCCACAGTTCAGTAGTGTACATGTTTAACTTAAAACAATTAGCGCAGTACTATATGAAAGTCTTCCGTTACCGGTGTTGGTCTATAGTTTAATCTCTTGCAATAACGCGGAATGTACTGGGTTCCATATGTTGTGAAGTGGTGAGTGTGTACTGCTGCATAGTTCTTTTACTGGGATGAAACAGCTGAATAATGCCTATTAGCTTTCAATAGTCAACCAACTATGATCACTTTGTGATTCAATCCATGGAAATATAAACTTCTCATATCAATAACAAATGTATACGGTGAGACGATAATTTATGGAAGACCTTTGAATGATGTCAAAGGAACCTTGAGAGTGTCTACCTACTTAATAAAGCTGAATGAGGGTTGTAAACTAGTTTGAAGAATAAGAATTATGATTCACAGTTAATGGTTAGGGTTTGGAATTAGATTTATGGTTTTTCATTATGAACTGATATAAGCTAAAATGCCAAAACTCTATTTGACTAAATGGGTGAGTGGATTTCATACCAACATCCAAGACCTGTTATCCTAAATCTGATTCAAGATATCTCACTCGAAATAAAATGAAAACTAGCTACGAACTAAGTAAAGTACATCAGTCGACGTTTTATTTGACATAACGTAAGAGCTTACATCCACTTTCAATACGGAGTTTTGTTCTCTGGGCTGGATAGTTTAGTCGTGGAGCTTTCATTGTTCGTTTAAAAGACATCATCAGCACAAACTTCTCCACCACCATCACTACCACCACCACTGAGAATGTATCTGTAGATCTTTCAATATATTCTACATTTCGAGTAATTGCCCATTAAAACTCTTGAAACGAAATCATGGACTGAAAGTTTATCAACAGATGTTTGCGGAACTTGAATTCTAGGATTACAATTCAGTAAGGTTAACATAGACGTTTTCAATCCATTGAAAAAGATTCATACGACTCATATACAGTTTATTTACATTTTGAATCACATTTCATGTTACATAAGAGGATAGAAATTGTAGACTGTAGAACTTTGCTGAAGAATAATAATCCAAAGGGTTCTAATTATTGAGTGAACACGAACTTACGGTATAATTCAACAAATCAAGTAACAAGAATCAACATTCGTCAGTCTATAATATAATTTTTTGATTAAGATCATGAATTGATAAATGTTAGACCACCATTGAAAAAACTGGAAGCACTGGACATTCGTTTCATTTTACTGAGGAACTCCTCAGAAGTGTGCATCCATGATCCCTCATCCGGGATTCAAACCCAGGATCTTCGGTTTCGCACGTGAATGCTTAACCTCTAGACCACTAAATTGTCACCCAACGTTGAGTTGATTCAATGAATTTTTGGCTATTTCATATTATCATTTCCATTTTTTAAAAAGTCAAACCCTATGTATTCTTTCACTGATAAAGTTGGCTTCTTTCATGGTTGACGTAAGTTTTTTTTTGTAATACCGTCGGATGAATATATCTTGATCCTGGTGTTGATAATCCTATTGAAGCTTGAAACCAGTACCTTTCATTCCTAAACACAAACAAGTAATTAAAAAAAGCTACTGAGTTTTGGATCCCAGTGTTAGTCACTAACTACCTTTAGTAAAAAAACAACATGTGACTTGATGGCAATACCCCACCCCCCTTATGATGTATATATAACAACAACAAATATTGATAAGTTAAAGTGTTAAATGTTAATAATGAGATAATATAAACCTTTACAAATGAAATGCCAAGATAGTTTAGTACAGTTAAATCCCGCTTCACACGAGAACCAGACATCACCCAAGCTTAAACTTTATAACCCGATCAGTAAAGCTCAATCCTGCTTTACAGGAGAACCAAACACCGTATAGACTTTAAGGCTACAATCTGAATAGATGTTGATATTTACTTCGGTACTAGAACCCATTACTGTCTGCTTGAAACATCATCACGTTATCCATTTAGGTACTGAGTACAGATAGACACTGGTTCGTGGAATAGGATGAAGTTTAGACAAAGGATACATATATGTCAGAATAGACAGATCGAATGTAGTCCTAAACATCAATAAGAAGATCCAAACAATCATTAAAAAGGGATCAAGAATATATCTATCTAAATGATAATAAAGCCCCATAAATCTCCATGATATGTTACTAAGTCATTATTAGTACCATTTCAGTAAGCGAGAACATGGCTGGGACAATTAAACACATTTGAATACAAAATTATCGAATCTGTTAGTAAAATATAAGAAACATACAGTGATTAATTCTTTTACAAACTATTCATCAATTGTCTCAGACTTCATTGTTCCTTCATTTCCATATCAATCACTGTCTGTACTCATTATCTTCTCTGAGATCTTCTAAACCTTCTGCCATTAAACATTCCGCTTTCGATTGATAATACATACTACTTATATCTGTCGATATCAGTAGCACATATCACACTAATTACACCTTTGAATCACAGTCAGTTATTTCATATTCATAATCAAATATTGTTTTACTAATCACTCATTCAAACACTCGTTATGTTCGTTTTAAAGCTATCTGTTCCATAATTTCTAGTAAGTTATCATAGTTTTCTTTAATGAATGAATATAATTGAATTGAACGGATTAGTTAGCTAGATCTATCTGAACCCCACAGTTGATGTTCATAATGAGATTAGATTCCAGTATCAAATATATTGAGATTTGTAAAAAACAAAGATATACCTAAGTAGTCTGCTTAGGATATACATACGACTGCAGTGACTTATCATTCGGAGCCTAAAATTGTAGTGTGGTGTCGAGTCGGGGTTGATTATGATCACCACTACAGGAAGACTACGTGCTAGTTAACCGATAAAATCCACCGTAAGCCAAATATCAGAAGGAAGTTGATGGCTGTAGTCGAAATGTATTTGTTGGCGATCTGTGGTATCGAAAGAATACCAAGATTGTGCCAAAGGAATACAAGTGTAGTTACTGAACTTAACCGAATTCTTGCAAGATCACGATCTACGGAAGGAAGAATATCTTTAGTGCAGATAAACAAACAAGTACAGTAAAACAATCACTGGTACAATTGGTTATAATAATGATTGTTTCTATTAAACCAATCGCGTTCTCTTGATAAAAGTAGGTCACTACAAAATATCAACAACGGGGAATTTCAAACCCTTATTAATATCATCATACACATTAAAACTGAACTCGATAGCTGAGTGAATAAGACTTAAGCACTTAAAATGAAAGATAATGGGTTCAAGTAGCATTATGAACATTCATATTGAAATAAGACAGCTGCATTCAAATAATGGGTCTTAAATTAAACGAAATGCGCTTTCTGAACTCCATTACTATCATCCACCAATCAAATTTGCCATAGC